GGAGGTGGAAGTTGTGGTGTGCGGATGTGAAGTCAGCTTTCATGCAGGCGAACTCCATCGACGACACGACCCGCATATACGTCAAGCCACCTGCAGAGATGAGGAGGAGATTGGAGCGGCTCATGGGTCTCAAAAGCCACGAGATCCTCAAGGCGACCAAACCAGCCTTCGGCGATGTGCGAGCTCCAAGGCAGTGGCATGAGACAGCCAATGACTACTTGGTCAACGAGCTCGGCTTGGTGAACCATCCTTTGGACAGATGCCTGTACTTGTCTCTGAGGCCTGCCGTGCAAGAAGATCCCAACTTTCTGGTCTTCGAGAGCAAGGGAGGCTATTGGATCGTCGACGGAGCCCTGGGGTTGCACGTCGATGACTTCTTGGGTGCAGGAGAAGGAGTCTACAGCCTGAAGGATGTGAAGACCGATGCAGCAGGGGCCTGTGACATTTTCCAGAACCGTGTGAACCTGCTTTCTCAGAGGTTCAGATTTGGGGCTTGGGACTTCGGAGACAAGATGAGGTTCTGTGGTGCAGAAGTCCAACAGAGTCCTGAGTTGGAAGTGATCAGCGTGTCCTTGAAAGAGTATGTGCACAAGATCAAGCCCCTGAGCATGGAAAAGATGAGAAAGAACATGCAGGATGACTATTGCACGGAGAAGGAGCACCGAATGCTGCGAGCTTTGGTTGGTGCGATGTCCTGGCCTGTGACTCAATGCCTGCCACAAGCAGCCGCTACCATCAGCATCTTGCAGGCCAACATCAACAAGCCGATGGTGAAGGATATGCTCGATGCCAACAAGTGCCTTAGATTCATGAAAGAGGTGGTGAAAGACTACACCTTCACGATCCGAAGCCATGGAGACATCGAGAACATCCGAATCGGTGTGTACTGTGATGCTGCCTGGTCAGTGAGGCCTGACGGAAGTTCGCAAGGCGGCATGCTCATGTTCTTGGCCAGTCACGATGAACTGCAGGGAGAAACTCCTTTCCCACTCACGGTGATCGACTGGTCAAGCAAGAAGCTCGTTCGGATGTGTCGGAGTTCGTTGGCCGCTGAAGCTCAATCCGCAACAATTGCAGTGGATGAGTTGGGATGGGCAAAGGTGTTTTTCGCGGCTACGGTGAATCCCTATGTACCCATTCAGCTGGACGAAACGATGCACCTCTTCAAGGAGTCCCCAGTGATCACAGACGCAAAAGCTCTCTATGACAGTGCTGGATCAGTGACGCCTGGATTGAAGCTCTCGGAGAGGCGCACTGCCATCGAGATAAGCATCCTTCGAGAACGTATGAAGGCAGCGCTTGGTCAGTTCAGATGGGTCAACTCTTTGCAACAGCTTGCAGACGGCCTTACGAAACCTTCTGCAAAAGATGCTTTGGCTCACACCCTGGCTAGAGGCGTGCATGCCCTCAAGTATGACCCGAACTTTGTGGCAGCCAAGAAGGTCAGTGGCGAGACAAAAGAGCAGGAGAACCTCGAGTATGAGAAGGCTGCGGCTGAGCTCTTTGATGGCCAGGTCTTCTATGTCGACAAGACGGAGTTGAAGGAGAGCCGACAGCTGTGCATGCTGCCTGGATGCCAGAAGCAAAGAGACATGTCTACTGAAGGCAATCGATATTGCAGCCGGAGGCATTTCTACACCCACCGATTCCGTCAAGGAGGTGGAGGTGATGAATGGCAGAAAGCAGCGAAGTGCGCCTTGGCAATTCTGGCATCGGAGGCAACTGTGGTAGAGGCTACCAATGGCACCAACCATGATGATGAAGGACGACCATTGACAAACACGGCCATGGTCATTGTGTTGTTTGCATTGGTTGGCATGATCTGTTCATCGCAGTTGTTGAAAGAAGTTCTCCACTTGCTCGCCATCAAGGTGTACCGTTTCTTCCACCCTGACGATGAGGCAGAGTTTGGCTATGAGGAGGAACCACGGTTGGAAACGAGCCATGGAGAGATTGTGAATGCCGCGCGCCATGGCGTCAGGGAGTATGACATCGCCCCGGAGTCCGAAGAAATGGAAGTAGATGAAGAAGATGAACCTGAGATCGTGCGTTGCGGTCCCATGGCAAAAGAGAGATGGATGCGCTTGTACGAAGAAGTTCGTGCTGAAGCAGGGCAACAGAACTGGCGCTGGACGAATGAGATCCTATGGACGGATGCAGTCTCATCTCAGATGCGTGGACATGTCTTGTCCCATGTGGTGCCCGAGAAAAGGAGAGAAGAGTACCTCAAGTTGGTCGTGAAAAAGGATTGCATGCAGGTGTCCGATGATGAGATTCGCCAATGGCATCGATTCCTGAACGGCCACTTCAATCTCATTGTGGAGACCCACGTAGAGGTGAGGGAACTTCGACAGAAGAAAGCAAAAGAGCTGAAAGACCAAGAAGAAGATCCCCATGAAGTTGAAAGGAGAAAATTCCGAGAAGGGCTACTACGAGATCGGCAGCAGCAAACCTATGCCACCTACAACCACGTGACCAACGAGATGCGTCACACCCAAAGGAACGGAGCATGGGAACATGTGAGCTGCTATGAGGGCCGCGTGTGAAAAAGGAACGGCGAGATCCTTTTTCATATTTTTGAATGTTTTCCATGGCAGGGTGGTCAAGAACAACCTTCCCCCTGTCTGAGTGTTTGCGGTTGCACACCACTTGATGTCCGCATTTCATGACATGTTTTTTCCTTCCGCGGCCAATAGGGCCCTTGAGTTCAGCAAACGGCACGCCCCATCGAAAACATCCGCGTTCGAGTGACTTGGACTTCGTGTGCCTTGATCTACTTCATTGAGAGGACTCACTTTCCCGGTTTACATGTGTTTCGAATTGTTTCGAAATCCTTCCCACACGCCCAGTTCATTGCTGACATGTTCACTTCACAGGTCATTCAGGCGATGTCAATCCACTGCACACGTCGGGGTCAATTTCAGATGTGCAAAAACCTTCCCTCATCACCAGCTGCTATGGCTGAGGGAGAACTATCTTTCATACAGGTTGGGATGTTGACTTATCTGAGAGTCTTCACATGAAAAGCAACCTCCTGACATCTTTGCCTTGCACATTCTGAAAGGGACCCTGGGCGCGTGGTCTTTGTACACTTCTACCACTGGCAAAACGTTCTCTTTCACGTGTCAGCCAGTTCCTGTAACCACGGGTTCCAGCATTGCACTGCGGAACCACCGGGAGCTCCAGTCAGAAGAACACATCAAATGGGACAACACATGTCCTCTGTGCTAATCCCGTCACTGCTGGATGGCCACAGCAAATTTGTGGCCAATCTCAAAGATTGCGGGCATCAACCTTGGCCAAAGTTCGAAGTCGGCCGCCACCCACCAACCCAAACGCAAGAAATCTCGGAGAAAAGACTCATCGCACCCTGGCATGCTTCAGCCACTTGTGAGCGCCTAATCTACACTTTTGGCCTAAAACATGTTGTCCTTCCAACACGCACGCGCAAGCGACGCCACGTATGCCAAGGATGATGCGCGCTCACCGACTCATCAATCAAGTTCAAGAAGTGCCTAATTCCACTGGTGAAAAGGTGCTAAAGATGCACGTCATTGATGCCAATGGGGCAGGAATCAGGTCAGTTTTGGGGCATTGAGGTCCAAGTTGTTCTGAGAAAGACTGACTTAGGACTGGAGGACTATTCACAGCACTCGCCTGCAGTCCATCAATAGCGGTGGGTTCTGGAAGATTGATTCAATTGATTCACATTAAATCACCTTGCCATGCATTACTGGCTATTTGGGGATCCGGTCGGAAACGGTCGAACAATCGTGTTCCCATCTTTGCTCCAGCCGATCTCTCTCGACTGAATGGACCGAGCTCCCAAACTCCTCGGCTTGCTCATCGTCCATGAGTGCCTTACAGAAACAAAAAAAAGAAACTGCTTTGAAAGGGCACGCCCTTGAACCCTTTTTTCCTACCCTCCACCTTTCTTTTTCACCCTCTGAGTACGGACGAAAGCGGCTGGCAGCGATGGTTGTTGGGCAAACACCACTGCACTCAAAGGTTATCGGGAGACGCTTTGTCGGGCGTGACCTTACTTACTTACTAAGTTTTACTGAGCTACCACTGGCCTGTCGCGCCTGAAACTTCTGCTCCACTTTCAAAATGGCAAACTGAGGGTCGCTGCAAATGTCCTGACAAAAATCTGAAAGTCAACTCTGTGGCGCTTGTGCTCTTCCCCTGATGCTCTAGCATACAATTCCCTTCAAATCTTGGGTAAAGTTGGTACAGACTGCAAGAGAGTTCTGTGCATCCAAAAGGGGTCTCAGTCCATCTGAACCCCCTGCACCTTGATTCCGGAATCCGTCATCAAGTACAGCAAGTTGATGATGAGCTTCGAATGGCGCCTCTGGTCATCGATTCATCGATCTTTCCAAAGAAATCCTTCATCCTTGGCTTGGCATGCTTTGGCCTTTAGATTCTTTTACAGTAGCTATTTTAGTTCATGTTTAACACAGGATTGTGGCGGGTCTTGGGAACCCTGCTGACCTACAGCGACGCGTTCAACCTTTGTCTCTGATTCGGCAGAACGGCCAAGCAAGGCGCGGTGACGGTGTCACTTAAATCACGGAATGTCGCCTCAAGATCTTGAAGGCCTGACCTCGCGGGAGACAAACTGCACAGGTGTCAGTCCATCAGACTTTAGAACTGCGGAGAAAACAACTACTGCTGGCATGGCATATGACAGCCAGAACACATGGCTGAAAAAGATGACCTTCCTTGTCTTCTCTTGGCTCATCCGCTCGCACTGAAGGACTGAGTCCCTGGCAGCACTTCGACTTAAAGGACTGGTAGCCTGGAGAAGAGTTTCCGCCCATCCCTGGCCAGGACTCTGCACATCGAACGAAGCTCATCCGTTCGAAAGCAAGGCACCGCATGGCACCGGGAGGCGTTTTGAAGGCTCAAAATAAACCTCCCAGTAGCTTGAGACATCTTGAGACCTGAACAGCAACCCATGGACACGGCAAACAGTTCTGCGCCGAACGGGGTCTTTTTCTTCTACTTCCGTGTCCGTCTGCGCTTTCGCAGTTCACTCCACAAGCTTTGTGCGATGTTCATGATGTGTTCTTCTCGCTCAGAGACCTCCATGGGTCTGCTTAAGCGAATTGGTTCCTTGGGGATTTCCTGCTGGCCTTGACCCGTTGATTCAACGAACATCTTCAAATTGACCGGTTCATTCAGCTGCACGTAAGGTTCATCCCACTGCTCACTGGGCTTCATGGGTTCCAAGGTCAAGCGGTTACTTAAAGCAAACCGTTTGTCTACCCTAGCTGCAAAACAGCCTTTGCGCGTCCACCATGACAGCTGCTTGCAACGGCCCGTCTCCAGAAAGATCGCATCTCCGAAGCTGATGCGCCCCAGCGGGCCCAGCCTCTTCTCGTCGATCGTGACACGGAATCTTGCAGCGTCTGACGGGTTGCACACCTTGATCAGCATTCCGTTGGCGGTTGTGGAATAGTATTCTTCGCTCTTCACGTCTTGGAGAACCACCAAGTCGCCATGAATTAAGGCGGTGGACCCACTTGGACGAAAGGAAAGACCCAACCAAGTGCAGAGCTCCTTGGCGAGGCTCCTCACAGGTGTTGGATCTGTCTCGAAGTCCGTTAAAAGCTTTTCTGTCAAATACAGCATCTCCTGGAGGCGTTGCAAAATGAAGTCCCGTGTCCAATGTAACATGGGCCCACCAGGGTCATCATCACTGACAGCGGAATACAGCCGATGAGAACACGTGTTGAACTTCTTTTGGTACTCACAAAGTTGGAATTGAATGTCGTGGAGTTCAAGTGCATCAGGATCGCCGTGAAAATAGTCCCCTGCATAGCTCCAGAGTGCCTGCATCATTGGCAGGGTTTCTGAAGGCTGAATCTCGGTTCGCCTAAACACTAGTTGCAAGCCCTTGATGGATCCAGGCCCCACAGGGCAAAAGGTGAAGTGGTCCTCGACTTGAGTTCTGCCTCCCTGAAAAACCGGGGTATCCAACAGATCTTGGATCAACTCCTTCGCAAAAAACGAGGGCCGACGTTGGACGCCCTGGCCATTGCCGAAATAGGGGACGTCAAGCAAAACGGCCGCCACCCGCTCCATGCTGCTGCGACCATCTTGGTTGCACTTGGCTGCTTCAACGACCTGCTTGGAAACCTTCCACAACTGGTCAAGCGTGTTGAACTTTCCGACCAAAGTGACGTCATATACGGCTGTGCCTTTCAACATCTTTTTCCCTTCATTGCGCAGTACCATTGTCAGGGTGTCAGCATCGACATGTCCACGTGTCAAAGCCTCTCGCATTTTGCGAGGCCAGCTGTATGCATTTGACAGCAAGGTTGGGAGCCGCTTGTCTTCAAACCCTCTTTGGATCACCTTTCGAATGAGGTCTTTTTCTCTGTCTCCCCAGTCTCTCAGGAAACCGACTTCGCCTGCAAAGGCCACCGTTCCACCGATGAAGCGCCACACTGCGAAGTTCAAAACCAGTTGTTGCTTCAACTGTTCCTCGTCTCTTTTGGATTTGCAGCACAAAACCCGTCGCTTCTCCGCGGCACAAAACGCATGCAAGCCCTTGGTGGTGGCATCATGCCATCGGTGCACGTTGGTGGATTTGTATCGCCGCAGGTACTCAGCGAATCCACCGGCATCCTCCGTCAAGGTGTCGTAAAGGTGGCGGCCATGCAGGCCCTCCAAGCGGCCTTTTCGGATAGCCTCTCGGTGGTTGAGCAGAGTGTAGAACGACTTCACATCCTCCAACTGCAAGGCATCCCTTCCCGCCTGCTGTGTATCCACAAGTTTGGGCGTTGCATGCTCGCACTCGGAAGGTCTTTTCATGGGCCATGAAACATTTGAAGCATCTCTTCTTCACATTGCTGTTGACATTTCAAGACATTCCTTGAATTTAGATCTGATGCAAAGAGAAGAGGGCTTTGTGAGAAATCCTCTCTTTAGTTGCAGCACTAGTTGCATCCATGTGGCCACGGGGGTATGCAGTTTAATAGGGAGGTCCCCAACCAGTGAGTTTGGGTGCATTGTTCTTCTTCCAGCGGGTCTTTGGGAGGTCTCCGTATTATCGTATTTCAATACACCCATGTGATGTGCATTCATGGCATGCAAACGTGCCCACTACGGGTCTGGATGGCTCCGCAGAAGTTGGAGCCGGCTGTAAAACGCGCATGGCCCGGCAATGGCCGTAATGGCCCTAATGTTCCGTTGAAAGCAAAGTGTTTTTGTGCGGTACCGTGGAGCAAACTGCCCTTGACCACTCGTTCCGAATTGGCTTGACCACCCATATCAGCATCACTTCGGATTGACCGTGCTGAGCCGAAGTGGGTTTTGAGGTGTGTCACTCACACGGTGTGTCGTCTCCAAACGGTGGATTTGGGCCGGTCTCCCAGCGGCGGAACCTCGCCTTCCACCATCTCCTGCGGACAGCGAAGGACCGCATCTCTCTGAGGGCTCTTTAATGCATACTGTAGCAACAACTGTTGGGCCACTGAAGTGGTTCATTCAATTGGGGCAAAACGTTTGAAGTGTCAACTTTGAAGACATGGTCTGCAGCGAGCCAAGCCAGGCTTAGGAGCTGTGGACATGTCCCGGAAAAAGATCTGGAGATTGGATGAAATTGTGAGCGAAAACCCTGATGAAACTGATTGGATCATTTCTTGAGAAACCCAACCTCCACGACTCCACACCAGACCGGTTCGCTGAAACATGCTCCGAGGGTGCTCTGGGTGTTGAATGGTACCGGGAATTGACCTTCACCCGAACCCGCCCCGCGAAAATCTCAATTCCCCCCCCCCACCTTGCAAATCCGCATCGGCGGCGGAAAGGGTTTTGGGTCTTTACCTCGGCGGAAACTCCTTGGGTCCTCTGATCGAATCAGTGGATGTATGGTCACACAAATCCTCCAGAAGTGGAACAAAGTCTAGGCATCCCAGGCTGCCAATGCAAGTCTGTCCACAACCCGCTGAATCTTTGTACCCTTTTCTGACCTTTGGAGCTTTTGGCCCCCGCACCAAGGATGAAACCGAAGTCAATGTGGAAGAGTCGGCCATCTTTGGTCACCTGGACAGCGCGCACTCTAGGCTAGCGGCTAAAGAGATTTCCTGATGATCCTGAGAAACCTTGGGCGAAACCTGCTTGGCTTTGGACCTCACAACCAGCTCCTCACATTGAGAAACCCAGTCTCCGGCCATCAGGTTGTCGAGATGTCGATCACCAATGCCCAGGATGTACGTGATGACCTCGGCAAAACGGGGACCTTGAAGCTCGGCTCAGCTATAACGTGGTCACAGCCACAGCCAAGGTTGTACAGTAGGTGCATGCTGATCAACCAAAGTGAGCATGGGCCACCAACCTTTCTGGGTGGCATGAGTATTCTGGCAAACACTGTGTGATCAAGAGCCACAGCAAAAAAACAAACCTCCCAATCATGTGCGTAACAAATACAGCAGGAAATCCCACCAAGCAGTGACTGCTTGGCGGGATTTGCTTGTGGGACTGTCTGTGTACGTGTTGACAGCTTCCAGAAACAGATTTCGACACCAGTGTCAGAGCTCAAGTGGGCCACCATTGGACTTCGACACCCACATGAGATTCGAACAAGGGCAATCAGTTCTCATCCCCGGTCAGAATTCGTGCGATGTGTTCCCCCTTGCGCGTTCGCGCAAGGACTGTTGGGTAGGGCTGGGGCTAGACATGCAAGTCAGAAACAAGTAATCGCTAGTCAGAAACTGTGTGTTGTACAGCAAAGAGTCCAACAGTGCATGTCTTCAAATCCTGAGGCAGATCCAACTTTGCAGGCCTGGCCATACCAATCTTTGAGCAGTTCCATCTCCTGGGGGCCCCAGGCACAGTACCCAGCACTGCTCCTAACCTCAGTCGCGATGTGACGCAAATACTCCGGACCGGTTGGCGCTTTCAGGCACCCACTTTCTGATCTGCCGTGTGCGACCTTCAGTTCCACCTTGAGAATGGCCACCTATTTCCTTATTTCCTTTGCGGGTCAAGGGCACCTTGACCAATTCCAACTGCTTTGCCGCTCCAAGTGCCAGACAAAGTTCTCGAGAACCTGCATGGTCCAACACCCAAAAGCTGAACAGCTGATTGAGGTCAAAAAGCTCCACAGGAGAGGACAGAAAGGTTCATCCAGTCAAATCAAGACATCTATCAACCTCTTGGTGGAGTTACATTACGCGCTCCATATTGAAACACAAGCTGCGTCCGTGTACGTTCAAGCGCTTTGACTGCAGTTGGCTGGTCTGACACTTTGACTGTCAACAGCTCAGTTTGGTTCGGATTCAATCCTCTGTCTACAGCTTAGTCCGGTCACAAACCCCATTGAGTTCTCAAAGTGGGTGATGCATGAGCAGATTATGGCCTGGACATAGGTCAAGGCGCATGGTGTACGTCACCACTGTGCCCCAGCTTCGGCTGTCCAAACCCCAGTCCGCTCACCTCCGGCTTGATGCCGTAGGAATTGTTGGGGCCCCAGGGCCTCAGCAACCACTGCCCTAGAGGGTCTGAATGAGGGTGGCGTGGGGCAGTTCAATAACTTGAAAATAACCCATCTTTACAAGTCCCTTGCTCATTTGACTGCTTTATGTCATGTCACTGTGACAATGGTGATGTTCCTCTACAAGACATTTCTTAGGGTCCATCTCCGACACCAGAACAATAAGGGTGTCTGAGGTGCCGACTCAGCCTCCCCAGCCTAGGACAAGCCAAAAACATCGCATGGCTTGTTTGTCCTGGCACTGGCACTTCTAGTGATTCATACTGCAGCGTCCCGCTTACCTAGCGCTCGCTGCAAAGCACAATGAGGAACACTAAAATGGCCGACAACAAAGGCCGAGCCAGACAACTACAGTACAGTAGACCAATCGTGATTCACATAATTATGTCAATAAATAAATATATATATATACACATACAGGTTCAATAAATCTGCATTGTGATGTTAGGAAAAACATCGGACACATTCCCTGAAGAATTTGAAAAAGTATGAGACGAATCGCCACAACCTGCGACGGTGCAAGCGATGCTGAGCAACTCACTACAGGATGATGCGTCCGGAAGAACTGCTGGATGTCCTGAGGGTTGTTGATTGATCCATTTCTTCCAGGGGCACGCTTCAAAATCAACAAAAGACAAGCGCATCGAGCAACATTTGGATGCTATTACTGCCCAGAATAGCAAAGCAAAATATCCAAACTATCCAGGCTATCCTGCTACACTCAGAATCATATTGTAAGATGTGTTAGGCATGTTGATTGAAGTACCGCCGCTCCATCGGTGAAGTACATCGCTCCTCGGCACAAGTGAAAACGTCTCTCAGTGTCAGACGTTGCTATGCTCCTTTAAAACCTTCGACAAGTTGGACGAGTCGGGCACCTCAGTAGCCGCCAGGCAAGGTCTTCCCGAAAGGTCTAGGGAGCTACTGTAGTGGTCTAGTAGAGTCTAGTGACCTTCCAAGGGTCTAGTGAGTCTAGTGGTCAGTACTTTCTGTACTTTCTGATTGAGCCTTCTTCCTTGCTGCAAGCAGTCAAGCAACACTTGCAGGTGACATACTGAAAGATGCCGCGGCTTCAGGAAAACTTGAGGACCTGACGAAGTCGACCATGCCATCATTCCGGGAAAGTGCCTGGATTGCACAATTTGAGTGTCTTGAGTCATGAGTCACGTTTGAGCCAAGATGTGCTTGGTATTGATGGTGAATGATGTTAATCCAAGGGTGCCATCTAGTCTGCATTCTCAACCAGCAGTCTCAATCGGTGCCTCAACTTCACTGAAATCTCCTCTCCCGGAATCAAGGACCGTGCAATGACTTGGTATGGTGTCAGCTGCAGGTCAAGCCCTTGGCTCTGTGCAAAGCCCTCAGCCCTCCGTCAAGACTGCAGGACCACTGCAGAATGCCTCTGAGTTAATACAATCAATTGCCAAGATGTACCCAGCACAGGTTGGGTTTGCCTTTTGAAGCTGTAGGATTGATTCAGCTGCTGCACTCTTGGGCTCTTACACTGCGACAACACTAAATTAGGAACTCTGCTCCTTTCTTCCAAGCGGCCATATCTCTTCAAGATCGAGTCCATGAGGATGATCAGTTGAAGAACGAGCCTTGGAGCTTCACAGCCGGACGGACGTTCATCGTACGTTCATCTGGGCATTCTGAAAACCGAGACCGCCTTCAACAAGAAAGGATAGTGATCTGAATGTGTGGTGATGCAACTAGTAACAAGGACGCTACTAGTAGCTAGGGCATCGCTAGTAGTAACAAGGGCATTACTAGTAGTAACAAATAGCTACCAAACCAACTATACAAGCCAAACTGTATCCAACTACTGAAAGGGGTCCGTGTCTCAATGTACCTATGGCGGCTCACCAGCTAACCCACCGCAGCGTGTCGGTCAGGCTGCATGCAGTCGGACCTGGGTCTCCCAAGCTGGTCTTGGCGGAGGTCATCGCCTTCCTTCACCATCACCTGCAGGACCACTTTCAGAGACCAAAACCCATATGGATCCAAAACGCGGGAGGTCATCTACTCTAAAAATAGGGGGGTCATGCTAGGTTCCAGTTCCGGCCTGATTCATCACCTTCAACTGCTCAATAAAAAGGAGAAACCACTGAATACTAGAAGCGATGGCCTCCAACCTAAGAGCGATGGCCTCCAACCTAAGCATAAAGCCCATGGCGGAATGTTATCACTTTTGCAAACCCTTCAGCTGTGAAGGCATGAGCATCAGCGTTTTTTTTGAACCAGTTCTTGTGGCAGGTGGAACGGCGGCGTATCAGAGACGCGGTGAACATGCCACGCGCTGGGTGTCTTCAAACAGGAAGGTTCAACAAGCAACAAAAATGTGTGTATCTGTATGTG